TTTCTCGCCCTTTGTTCTCTCTTTGTCATCTTCACTGCCTCGCTCTCGCGCCTTGTCCTTGGTTGCTAAGCAGCCCCTCTAGTATATAAGGACCCCCTTAGGCGCTCCCTAGTCCCCATCTCGACCTCTTGGTCATTGGGACTAGGTGAGTGACCATAGCGTTGTATCTCTCTTCGAGTGCTAATGTATAACTTGGTCATTGGGACTAGTCTGTCGCTGTCTGCGTGAAGACTAGCTTTCGTAGGTCTCGTGCCTTCGTGCCGGCCTCCGCTCTGCCCCGTCGAGTTTCTTGTCACGTTTATCCCTCTCTCTCTCTCTTCTTTTCCCTTTCGGCTCCTTGCCGCTCGCCTACGGGGTCGTCGCCGAACGTCGACCCGAGTCTACGCGCCTAGTCGCCGCGACAATCGTTGCGCTTCCGCTTCGGGCCCTTTGGCGAACCGGTCGCATTGGAGCCCTTGCGGGACGGGCGCTCCTCGCGGATGTATGGCTCAATCTCCATCTCCATCTCCCTGCATTCGGGCTCAATGTCGGGGGGAAGGAGTCGGTCGACGTCCCCATAGACCTTGAGGTCTGACGCGCGTACGATGAAGTGCTGGACATTGGCGTAGCTAGACTGCGCCTTTTGCCAATTCTGCTCTTCTCGACCTTGCGCGAGGAGGATGTGCACCGTGCCGGACGCCTTACGGCCCGTTCGTCCGATACGTTGTAACTGTGTAGCAACGTTGAACGCTCAGTGTTGGTACGTCGTTGAGTGTGACTGCAGGGAGTGAACTCACCATGCGAATAGGTGTCTTCTGTGCATCGTAACAAACGATGAGGTCGACTTCGCCGATGTCGAGACCTTCCTCGCCGATTGAAGTTGAGACAAGGACATTGTATTTGCCGGCCTTGAACTGCTCGATGACCTAATGTGCAGTGGTATTGTGGGTTCAGTCAGTGGAAGAGGTTGGAAAGGTTGGAAAGGGACGGACCTCGAGTTGCTCCTTCTGGGCGTACCCCTTCTTGCCCTGCTTGTCCTTCCCTTGTCCGATGAACGGCTTGGCTCGGATGATCGGAGACTCCTTGTTCAGGAGCTCAACGATTTCCTCGACGCACTCACGAAAGGACACAAACACCATCGCGCGAGATTCGCTGGCTCGCGCACCTCCATCGGCGTCGTCAGGTGATGACTGATTGAAGTGATCAATCAGCAGGGTGCGCAAGACATCCATCTTCGGGTGCATCGAGAAGCCACGGGCGGCTTGTTCTTCAAACTTGGCCATGAGGCTCTTGAGGGCGTCGGACTTCCGGATGGCTTTCTTCCCACTGCTGTCGTCGGCACCCTCGGCGATGCCCTTCAGGAAGCCGTAACACATGTTGATGCTCATTTCCATCTAGTGATCATGTTAGCGACGCTGAGACTCATGAGAGGCCGCTTCATACCAAATATCCCATTGCTCTCGCTAATGGACCTAGTTGAGCGACGGCACCTATGGCATACTGAGGAGCACGAGCTTTCGTCATCTCTCCAAGTGTCGACTGGCATCGATATGGGTGCAGCATCGTGGGTTGCGTGTTCCCGTTCTTCAAGAACCCAGCACCCTGAATCTTCTTGATGAGAGGCTGCAAGGCGATCGACGTGAATCAGGCAAAGAAAGGGAGTCTTACGATGGTGGACTTACCACCATCATAGCCGAGAGTGCATCTCGGAGTACACAAATGTCTTCTGTCATCTGAACGAAGTGCTCTTGCTCGTGCTTGGTGTGGAGGTACTTCTTGAGGTCGGGGTCAGTCTCGCTGCGGATTTCGATGTGGCTGATGTGTAAGGCGTCGACGATCTCCTGGACCACCTCTGGTTTGCCGCCTGGTGTTGCAGTCAGAGCGAGTATACGGTGGTGTGGGTTGTGCTGCATCATGTATCGCACGACCTGTGCATAGGCATAATCACCTGTGCCTCTGTGTGCCTCATCTACGTTAACTGCGTCAACTCTGCGTACTGCGCCATTTGGCCGTAACCCCTACCGATGACGATCAGCACAATATCGAGCGGGTCGACAATACCTCGGATGAGGTCATTCAGGAACGTTTGCGGCGTGGCGTAGAACACTCTCTGTGTCTTCCACTGGCATACGAGTTGAGTATATGCGTTGCAGACGCCAAATGAATACCATACCGCATTTGCACGCTTGGCCATGGGCACACTGCCAGTCATTTCCGCGGCTGCGCTACCCGGTATGCCACAGGTCTGATGGCACGCATCTATTTGCTGGGCTACGAGCGGCTTGGTCGGGGCCACAAAAATCACCTTTCCCTGAGGAAACCAATTGTAAACTGGGGACTATAAGTGCACAACCCTCACGTGCCGATTTGCTGGGAGGACACGTACAGTTGAGCATAACAACTCCGGCGATGAACGTTTTCCCGAGACCAGTTGGAAGCGCAACCAAAGTATTCTCGAGGAGACAGTTCTTCACGATGTTGTACTGATACTCGCGCTTCGGCTTGTTGAGGGGATATATCCAGGACTTCGCAGCTAACCGATCCGGGACAAGTTTTATCGTGGGTGTCTACATCGAATAATCAGCGTGTATGTCGACATGTATACACATAACTTCCGACATACCGGACTGAAGTAGCGTACATAAGAGCATGAGTAGAGCACGTCTAAGACGTTCGGAGGTTCGTACTCACCCGACGGATATTGCTGGAGCTGGAAACTGCTCAAACTCGATCGGCTCTTCGTCGTCCTCGTCATCCATGCCACGGCCCTTCCCCTTCCCCTTCTCCGGGTCTGGCTTGGGTTTCCTCCAGCCCGACTTCGCATATGCGGTCCGGTCCCACTTCTTGGTCTGTCCTGGAAGTGGCATCTGCCGCAGCTTCGACCGAGTCCGCTCAAACGTCCTATGGCTCGGTGCTGCAGCCTTCGGAGGTTCCCCTTCGCGAGCGACTTCTCCAAATAGATTCATTTGTGTAGTCTTGGAAGATACGGGGTCGAGACCGCGGGCTCTAGAGGGTCCTGCAATAGGCTGATTTGGGGGAGGACCGCCATAACGGGCGTATCCAATCTCGACGGCTCTATCTATGCTTGCAAGGGCGGCTTCGTCCATAGGCATGTCATCGAAACCGTAGTCACTACTAGAGCCGTCGAGTTCAATCACGTCTGGAGGCGTCGTTTTACGCGGCGGACTTGTCAAGGATGCTGGGACAGGTTCCAAGCTGTTGCCTCGGGGTGGCGCAAGTTTCGGCGCAAAAGCAGGCTTGAAGGAGGCCTTGTGGGCAGTCTGGGGTGCAGGAGGACGGGCTGCCGCAGCAGCCTTAGCGGTATAAGCAGCCTCGATAGCGTCCACGGCGGCCAGAACAGAGGCATCAATGTCGTCGTCAAAGTAGTCGTCTGAGTCCATATTTACCCCTACCAGAGGAGGAGGTGAGAAGGAACCGAGGGGCGAGGGAGTGGTTGTGGCTGAGGGAGAGTCGAGTCGCGTTGCCGCAGACTAGGAGGGGTGTTCAAAGTAAATGCAATCCCCCCAGCGCGATGCGACGCTGGCGCTTGATCTCACCTGCCTTGTATGGTAAGTGTGTCCAAGACGGTGTAATATTGCCGCACCCATGTCTGAATTCCAGAAGTTGCTGGTGCAGTGGTAACGATGGTTGTTCTTCTTTTTCCGTGCGAGAGTTCGAATCCCGCGCAGGCTCGTTGGGGTTGGGGTTGGGAGTTAGGGTTTGGGTTTGGGTTAGCGGTTAGGGTTGGCCACTTGTCTTTCTTCTGACCCCCACAAGGGGTCGCCGGTCTGTTTTTTTTCGCGCGAACGAGGCTTTAGTGTGCCCGCCTGAGTGCTCCCGGCTCGGGGGACCCCCCGAGCGCAGCGAGGAAGGGGAGGGAGCACGAATGGCGGGTCCTCTTCGCGCAGCGCTGGATGTTCTTGAGCTAAGCGCCTTACATAAGATTCTTCTACCTAATATGGACTTGCGTCGCATC